TTCCAAGTCTAATGAGTTCTCCCGATTGAAAGGCACAGGTGGGGAAGAATTGAGTGCAAAACTGCTCGTTTTGCACCTGAGATCCAGTAGTGGCCGCCTGTCTGTACTGTTGTGCCGACGCTCTGTCTGTCTGAGACTCCAGTAAACTATAAAAGAATAGCACAAAATTATTACAATCAGTGATTTAATGGCTAAATCCAGTGAATTGCTTACATAAGACTTCGTCCAAATCTGACGCCATCATTACCGTGAGAGTTGGGATTAGCGGTCAGTTCGCAGATAACCCTTTGAAGACATTGCTGTGCGTTTTGAGATCTGACCAGTTGTAGCAATTGTTGGGCGTTGGCTGAGGCCTGCGGTGCCGGGTCTGGCTGTGCCTCTCGTCTGCGTCTATAGTTAGCAGAAGAATACAAACTGCCTTTTTTGGAGTGATATCCAGTGTGCGGACCATTCATGCTGTTTGAAAATAATCGTTAACTAAAAACTTGTAAACATGTATTAAGTCTACGGCACTTACACGAGAGAGTATTCAACAGAAGTCGGTCCTTTGGGATAGGACTTGGTCTCCAATACTGGAAGTGATGGCAGAGAAAATTGAGGCAAAGAAAATGTCGGAACTCTGATGCTGTTGTGAAGAGTGGTTGTAAAACCATTTATTTTATGGGACGCAGACTTTAAGTGATCGCCAGCTTTAGTGACCAGAGATCCTGCCGCAGACACACCCTTTCCAAGCAATCCGATACCAGCGCTGGCGGCCTATTATTACACATTTAATTATTTTTCTTAAATTATATAATTTTAATATTCTTACCTTAGCTTTAAGTCCAGCGGCAATGACAACAGGTTTGACTGCCAGAGCGGTCGCACCGACGGCTACTTTCTTAGCCAACGCTAGTTTGGCGGCAATCAATGCTTTTCCAATGAGAGCCCCTTTAAGAGCACCGGCTTTGGCACCAATGAGAGCACCGATCGGAGCGCCAATTGCTGCTCCAATGCCCATCGGAACCGCTAGTTTGGCCGCTAAAATAGCCTTTCCGCCTGACAATTATCATCAATGTATTAGCAATCAATTCAATTAATTAAAAAAATGATTGATTGCATACCAATAGCCAGAGGAATAGTAATCGGTGCCAATAGAAGCGCTTTCTTTGCGCCGACAATCGGGAAGAAGGATGCTTTGGCGCCAATAGCCTTAGCCGTAGCGACCGATTTATGAACGCCAGCCACGACTCCCTTTTTGCCCCAATGGATAACACCTAAAGGGTTCACACAGTGGACAGACATCAGTTGCGACAGCGAACACAACACCGCAAACAACATCAAAGACTTTTGATTCATTTTAGAAGTTTTTTAGTTGTTTAGTAGTTTGAAGTTTTGTTTAACTTTCTTTGAAACAAATGCTAACTTCAAGTGAGATATCGATTGAAGAAGTGGTCAGCTTTTATAGTGAGTGAGAAAGTGATGGAATAACACTTTCCCCACAAAACAACGAATAAACAAATCTCATTCATCCAATTGTTGGTCAGTAGGCTTTCAAACGAAATGGAAATAACTGTCAAAGAATTAAGTTATGGATTAATCTAGTTTTTTGTTGGTTTAGTTACACTTGACCTCCATATCGCACCAAACATTTGGGTCAATTAAAGTCCAGTTCTCTCTGCTTTAGTGCTATGGACACAACTCTTCCCCTATTTTATCAGCTCTTCATTCAGACAAATATTGTAACACTTTATCATAAATAGGAAATGAAATTGAAAACAAACAATCAATTAGAATCCATATATTATACTAAAGTGATTATGAGAAACTTATTTATGCTATTTTTAAGTATCGCCGCAAAAGTATTGCACCATTTAATCCCAAATTCTTGAAAACCGTTAAACACTTCTAACTGTAAATATGTCCTAAGTTTTACCGTCAAAGGTCTAAAGTGTGCTAAAATTGTGTTTTACTCAATGCTTACTCTTTAAAAAAGTCATTAATTGTCAAATAAATTAATAGATAATAAACAACAATAAACCAAATCCTGAATTCAATTCACAGCCTTTTTATTAACTCAAATAAATGAAAGTTACGTTAAATAATAACCAAATATTTTTATACAATAAAAGCATTTATTGTTGTTCTGAAGGCATGCTTTTGATGATATCGGAGTCTCCGGGGTCTGTGATGGAGAGGGAGCACACTCTGTAGTATTTGCCACAAGCGGTTCCCAATTCAATGTTATTTCCGGAATAGTGGTGAACCCCTGTCTTCGCTAACATCGCGTAGTACTCGATCTCAGACTTCCTCAGCGGCGGTGTATTGTTGGCAATGATCACCAGTTTTGCTTTGCCCTACAATNTGGAGAGGGAGCAGACTCTGTAGTATTTGCCACAAGCGGTTCCCAATTCAATGTTATTTCCGGAATAGTGGTGAACCCCTGTCTTCGCTAACATCGCGTAGTACTCGATCTCAGACTTCCTCAGCGGCGGTGTATTGTTGGCAATGATCACCAGTTTTGCTTTGCCCTACAATTCATCACAACAACAACACATTGTAATCAAATTCAATCAAATCATTCACTCAAATGTATTCAAAATACCAGACGAAGTGTCTTAAGAGTCTGTTTATAACCGAAGCTATATTTGCCGGACTTCATCACAAGAGCTAACCGCGAGTTAATGCTCTCTAACGTCTTCTTCGACTTCTTCTCGGCCACCATTTCGATGATATTTCGATCGCTTCCTCGAGTTTAGGACTAAATTGTATGTAATTTATAATTAATATAATTGTCATTATTGTTAGCTTTCAATACAATTGTGTGCAAAACACGTGTCATAAGGTCTGTGAAGTGCGGAACCGCTTACAAGACATTCACAGGCCATGAATGACACCAATTCATAGCACATCTCATAGTCATTGCATTCAATCAACTAATTTGGCCAAAAATGGCGTAAAATATGTATTGAATTAATAAATACTTACAATAATTAACACAATTAGTGCTGAACTCGTGTCCACACAAATGGCGATACAATAGGAAAGGCTGGGAATGGGTTTGCGATGCGATCGCAGAGACATCTGTCCCACACTTCACACCATTTCCTTTGAAAGTCAATTACGTTTACTTTGCGTTGGATTTTGTGTCACAAAAAGTGAACACAATTTCCCAAAAATGTAAATCCGATTAATAAACCAAAAAGAGTTCAATCCGTAAATCCAGTTCACAGTGGCCTCAAAAGTGCACTCAAATCACTGCTTTGATCATACAATCCATACAATTATAGCAATTATTTTTAGGTTAAGTTTTTTTTGTTGATAAACTTTCGATAGTTTTTACTTTCAATCAAACTTTGAATTAAAGCTTTTAATTGTCTTAAGATTTGTACCAAATTTATGCCATAATTATTAAATTTTATTTACTAAATAATTTTCATATTTTAATATTTTATAAGTTTTATAATTTAATTAATTGTAAAGAGTAGTCAAATAGGAAACACATTATGTAATCATTTCATAACAACATTATTGATGTATTTATTAAAGCATTTGAAATCATAAACAAAACATTTGATACAAAACTAATTATAATTACAATTTAAGTGCAAATTATGTCTAAATTAAAATCGGGCAAAAAGTTGGCCGAAAAAGTAATACATTCAACACCAATGGCTCTCTGGATATCCGCCGGTTTAGCACATCCCGGACCACCTCTTGGACCACAATTAGGACAGGTTTGCATCAAAAGCACATAAATTTGTTGACAATTATTATTAATTCTGATTTTACTTATGCTTTCACTCCGAAGAGAGGCATAAATATCTCACAGTTTTGTAAAGACTTTAATGAGAGGACTAAAGACATTAAACCGGGAGTTCCTCTGCCCTGCAATATATCCATTAATGTGAGTTTTTTGGTTTGATTGGTGTCGGCATGTGTTATATTCTCGCTCTCCTCTCCCTCTCGAGTATGGATTATCTGCACAAACGAAGAAGAGATAACTTCAATAGAATACAAACTCTTCAGAACCGACTGATGGACAGACCATATGTGCCGCCAATCGATGATTATGACTATATTTATCGACGAATGCAAGAACAAGAGTATTACGATCCCAACGATAACCATAATTATGATACAGACGACCCGCAGCCTTATTACCCGCCACCGCAGCCACCAATTCCAGCCAAACCCGAGCCCGTCATTGATAACCAATACAATAGATATCAACGAAGACAACAATATCCGCAGCCCTATAGACGTCAATATAAATACCAATCAAAGGGTTATCGAAATCGAAATCTTTTTGTGGATTCTTCGGCATTGCGTTATATAAGACAACAATCACTTCGTCGACATATCTTGAGAAGAACCAGAAGAATGATTGAGTCCAACGATATCATTAACAATAAAATATTTGAAGCTATATTATTAGTTTTAAATAAACAGATTTTGAAAGATAATAATAATATTTATTAAGAACTCAATTAAATAATCTAAAATTAATTAATTTTCAAAATTTTCTATTGATTGTCTGTAAATTTTTTATTGAATATATAAAACTAGATATTAATTACAAATGTAAACAAAAATTGTTTTTATTTACGAACAGAATTAAAAGATATTTTTAGTTTGAAAATTTGTTATTTAATTTGACAATAAAATTTTAAAATTAATCCCAATTTTATGGCCACATAAACGGCTCTTTCATCGCTTCCGCTCTTTTGATTGAATCGCTTCTTCTTTTTCTCTTCTTTTCTCTCAAATCGTTTTCTGCCTCTAAATCGCCGTAATCTAAGATATCATCCAATTCTTGCTCCACATAAACGGCTCTTTCATCGCTTCCGCTCTTTTGATTGAATCGCTTCTTCTTTTTCTCTTCTTTTCTCTCAAATCGTTTTCTGCCTCTAAATCGCCGTAATCTAAGATATCATCCAATTCTTGCTGTTCAGAGAGAGGAACTGTACTCTTAATGCCTGTCGACAGGAATTTAACAAAAATAATGATCAAAAAACAAACAATATTATGAAATATTTGTGAGATTTCTAATACCTTTGCCGACGTAGTCCTGTCCGAGTAATCGCATAATTTGTGTCCAAATAACAAGTTTAAGGACTAATATCTGAATGAGTGCCAAATATTGACCGACGTTTGGCAGGAGTATAGCACTCGCCGGAAGAAGTTGTCGCTTATATCGCTTATTGTCTGCAAAATTCAAATGATTAAAGTTTTTTAATTTTCAATTATAATAATATTTTTAAAAATTAATATTAAAATTAAAAAACAATGAATACTTTGAGAGATGCTATCGTTGCTATCGTTGCCGTGTCTTATAGTGAGACCATATATTGCAGAGAAATAATGAGAAAAAACAATTATTTGTAAAACAAAACTCATTAACTTTTTATTTTCATATTTCATTGTTTTTTATTTGGTTGAG